GGACTGGTGTGGAGCTCTGAGATGGGTGCAGAGGTGTGCAAGGAGACTACCTTGAAGGATCTGGCCACCAAATGAAACATTTTTAAGACTTTTAAAAAGAATTTAAGACTCTAACTTTGTGAAGACTGGATTACACTGAACTACCAACTGAGCACTTTCATGGAGAAGCATTTAATTCATTCTAATGGTCTTGGCAAAATATTAGTTAATAACATAAACGGTAAATAAAGTTTACTGTTGATGTTAACCTGATGTTAGGTTTGTTTTTAATTTTAATCAAAACCTCACTATGTGAAAACTTAAGCTAGTATTAGTTTATATTTATGATCCTGCAACTCTTGCCCTAATTAAATGTGCATTTAGTAAGTTTAAAAAAAAATGTTTTACACACTTCTTTTTGCAAATTTTCTGAATGGATTATAGCATAATTATGAAATATAAGACCTTCCCCGACTCTCTCTGTTGATTCTGACAGTCTGTGGAGTGACTTCTTTGTGAAGAACTTGGGAATTTTCTGCAAATATCCAAAGGATGTGGCATTTACGCCCGCTCCCGAGTGCCGCTCCCAGTGCCAACAGTGAGGAAGTTAACATTAGCTTATGAATGGTGTCCACTAATCACTAATGTCAACAAACAGGCACAACAGGAACACTGATGTGGCTTTAAATATGGCATTTAATCCATAGTTTTCCAGACTACAGATCACTTTAAGCCATCTTTTTTTCTGGCTAATGTTAGCCAATGCTAGTAATATGTAATTTCTTAGTTTTTTTTGTCTGTGTGCATTTGTCCCATTTAAATATTTCAATCATCAAACAGAATTTAATACAAGATAAACATAACCAGAGTAAATACAAAATGCACTTTTTAAATTTTTTCATTTATTAAGTGGGGAAAAACCTGCCCAAACCTGCCTGTTCCTGTGTGAAAAACCTGTTGCCCTCTAAATCTAATAACTGGTTGTGCCATTCTTGGCAGCGAGAGCTGCAATCAAGCATTTGAATAACTGGCAATGAGTCGTTATCTCTTCATTAATAACACAGTTCCCTTGAAGCTTGATCTAACTAAGAAAACAAAAGGTAACCAAGGCACTAAAATGCTTTATCTCCTTGTTTTGGAGGTCATGTTTGCTCAGCAGCTCAATCCCAGGCCGTGTGTGTGTGTGTGTGTACTTGCATGCGTGCATGCGGATGTGCTTTTTCCCTTTGTTTACATCCACGTGTGTTTCGTGGCAGTGATTCGGGGCGTGGCAGCAGTCTGCTGGATAGAGCCATAGCAGACAGGCGACAGCTCAACGCTATGACCCTGCCTGACTTCAGTGACCCTGAGACTGGTAGGTACACACACCTGAAATCTACGTGCTCGGCGTTCATCAGTAAACATGGAGTCAAACTTGTTTAATTATTCTCTCTCATCTAATGGTCATCCTGATGTCTTTTTTACAGATAGCAGAGGGAAAAGTCTATAAAAGAATCTAATTTCTTTTAACTTAATGTATAAACGTTAAAAAATGGGAGCATTTTAAAAAATGTTGTTTGAAAAAAGATCTTTTTGTTTCTATCCTTTCTTTAATCCTTTATTAATTTCACTCATTTCTGTTTTATTTCCTCTTTTTTAAGCCTCAGGTTCTTCATCTTCGCTCTCTGGTTTCGAACCAGTCTCCCCCACCTCCCCCTCCACCATGTCCACCGTCTCCTCCCCGCTGTCTTCCCCTTCTTCCCCTGTCTTCATCTTCCAGCCTCCCCATACTCCTCTGCCTCCACTCCGAAAACCACCTTTCCGCTCTCCTCTTCCTTCCCTTCCCCCTGCCCTTCCTCCTCCTCCTCCTCCTCTTCCACCTCCACGCACAAAGACCAGGACTCACTCCTTCTGCAACCACGCCATAGTCCGCCAGCTGTCCTCCAACTGTAATCCTCCTCCGCTCTGCCTGTAGCACGGTGTGGAGACTGACCACAAACAGATGTCGTCACTAGTTACTTTTGCCTGTTTCTGTGATTTTCGAGCTACATATGTTATGAGTTAGTTATAACATCGTAAAAATTTATGTCCAGAAACACGAATAGAATTAAAGATCCAAACTATATTACAAAGCACTTCGGAGCCTCCTGAGAGACCAGTTGGATCTCTGTCATGCTCATGAAGTCATGAAATTTCCTGTACTGCAGAGTACTGTCAGGCCAAGCTGTATTACTTTAATAATGCTGAGAAATTCACTGATATTTAAAACTTAAAGAGGACGGAGGCAGCACCATTTCCTGACACATTTAAATCCTCCTGGATGTGGTTTTAAGGCAAAAGAAAATCTTAAAAGTTAAAAAATGCTTCTGTATTGTAAGATATTAATTACCTGCTTTGCAATTATTTTCTTACTTAAAGGCATCACTTGTTAGTTCCTGGCTTAATATAATGTGCCCATAAACCACCAGCTATCTTTGAACTGTTCGATATCTAAGAAAGCTCCTCTTATGAGCAGCCACATCCTTCTTGTGCTTTCACCCTCACTGATGCTTGAGCGGATCGTGAATTAGAGAGATTTGTTTAAGCCTGGACAAAGAGACTAAAGAGACTAACCATTTTGGAGTTTTGGCTGAGACAAACTCCACAGAGCTGCTGTAAATCCTGGCATGTTTGCAGAAACTTTGATGTGGATTGAGCTGAGTTTTGATGCATTTGCTTTGCATATTTTGTGACTTAAACATGCACGCACGCATACACACACTCATTTTATTTAGCTAAAATTTATAGATCAGATGGGGGGGAGGCGGTTTATGTTATAAAAGATTTTTTTTCCACAGATCACAGCTGCACTTTCTCTGCACCTCTGTTTTTGTTTTTAATAATTTTCAGTGCTTCCATCTCAGCCAGCATTAATTTGTCGTGCTTCCCAGTTTCGATGTTGTCTGTCCTTGTTGCCATCTCTCTTACTAATGGTAATAATAATGGTAATGGTTGTCTTTTAGATTATTTTTCCCGCAGGCCACAAAACGGTGACAGCTAGTCGATCATCATGGTTACTGAAAATATGATAAATTTACTTTCTTTAGGAGATTTTTGAATGATTAGTTCATTAAAAAGTTAATTCAGATACGCAGGTGCACCACATCATGAGGTGTAAAATATAATGTTCCTCACCAAATTTTGAAACAAAAACCTGTCATGACTTGAAATATGGGCCTTCTCGACATTTTGGTATTTAAAAAAACTTTATGGCACTAACTACTTAATAGGCCACTGGGTGTGTATTTATGGAGGACTGACTCTGCCAAACGTTAAAAAAAAAAAAACTGAAAAAACCCCCCCAAAGAATGAATGACTCAGTAAAATGAAGTAATTTGCCATTAAGCAAACAACTAGCTCATAATTAGTGTTTTATAGCACATAAAAATTAGCTTTTACCTACAGTTATTTTATTATTATTTTATTTTAATTTCCTTTTAGTGCTTTTATTCCTACAAATAATCGTTATTTACCGATTATTTTTTCTTGACCTAAATATTTCAGTATTTCCACACATACTGATTTTTTTTTTTAATTTTCTATACATATTTTTTTTCCATATATGCAAAGAAACATCGCTCTTATTTTGAAAGTTCAGTTACTGCTAATTCCATGAGAATTCTTTTTACATTTTTTTTTAATGTAGTTATTCACAGTTTGGTCTGTTTCGGTCCTCCATATTCACATGTTCAATCAAATTTCTGTCATTAGATAGGGTGCATGAGTGGAAGCAGCTCGCCTGCTGTCATGTGGTCTAAAAGTGACGGTGTGAAGAATGAAAACCCCGCGGGGTGCTGCAGTCTACCTTCTGTGGATTCTTTTGTTTTTTTCCTCATCATGCTTTGGATATTTCTTCTGTCTCTTCCTCTCTTTCAATCATTAACAGTCGTCTTTCTGTTTCTTTCCATCCCTTCGTTTTAAGGCGGCCTTCAGGACGCTAACACTCTTGGTTTTTCCTCCATGTTTTCTGTTTGTAAGTAGCCATCTAACCTCCATCTTTTCTTTTTTTTTTTCTCCCCTTCATCCATTCTTCCGTCATTGCTCCCCCTTTGTCCCAAGAGGTCCAGATATGTGCCATATTCATATGACGAGAGTATGTGCAAATATCTTCTGCTTTAAGGTGACATCTGCAAACTGTTTTGTTTTTGTTTTTGTTTTTTAAATCATGCTGGTGGCTGATCCAAATGCCCACAGTGAGTTAGAAGGAAGAGCTCAGGCATCTTTTGCATGTTGTCACATTAAAGCAGCGTGAAGGTGTTCAGGAAACAACTTGTTTGGATTGTTTTAGAGCACAATCCAGACGAGGGTCTTATTTTCCAGCACACAGATGTTATTTCTGATGCGTTTATCCTTTTCGGTAACGTGAAAGAGAACAAAAACTCACCAGGAAGCAGTTTCCTTCTCACGAATGTGATGGTAGTTGTGACAGTAACTGTTACAACAAGCTCGAGGCAAATTGCTGACAGATGCTCAAGTGTTGTAATCAATTTAACGTAATCTGGCTGAAATCTAACAAACCCCTGTGGGAAGTCTTCCCACAGGGGTTTGTGGGAAGTCGCACAAATGAGGATGTGGTGCAGTTTCTCATGAAAGGCATTATCAGCTCTGTACAGCTGATATCCTTCTCTGTATTCTGACACTTAGGCTAACGATCGCATCTTTCACATGATGTCAAAGTACCGCTCGTGTCAAATATGGGTCTTTGCAAAGTTTTGCGTTATTTCAGTGAGTGCCTCCCGCCTGACGCCCTCAAAATCAACTTTGTACCATAACTTACAAGCTAAGTTTAACCTTCATACCATGGAATTTGGCACTATTTTGGTGTTTGCTTATTTTTTGATAAATGAAAAGCACATTTAAGTCCAGAAAGAAACACAGGTTAAAGGTGAGCCTGTTATCAAACTGAGGATAAAAAGAAGACCTCATTTTGAGCAGCCACATATCCCACATGGTAATCTGACCCTTGCAAATTTAGCCAAGTTTGTTTTTTGGGTTTTTTTATATGGATCGACCAAGCTGTATCGAAATATTGACTTACACCGATCAGCCCGCCCCAGCCTACTACTCTACAAACCCTGATGACAAAACCTCAGTGACCAAGTAGGGCGTGGACTCTGCAGTGGTTGTTACCAGAGGAGTCATTAAAATTCTTATTTAAAGAGGTGGCAGCAACACACCACTGGAAAACATTCAAACACACCCTGACATCTTCGTAGAATCACAACAAGCATAACGTGCAACAATAAACACTCCACGAATGATGTAAAGTCCAACACAAACAAAGAGCAGCACACACAAACAGTAAGACCTGCGGGTAGAAACAAAAAAGAAAACGGCAGCTGGAGGAGGATCGGAGGAAAGGAGGTGCACGGGACCATAGTAAGCAACAGATAGATGATGGGGAGGTATTTGTGAGCAGACAAACGTCCTTTGGGTCACAGGGTGACAGATCTGAAGAATCTAGAGGCAGGGAACACTTTGGGCTTCATGTAATCTGTAGATCTTTAATTCAGTGTAATTCTGGTGTATTTAATACATTCATTCGTGCAGACCTCCCTCTCACTGGCCACCTCCTCCAGCTCCTCTAGGGGTGGAGGTGTTCACTGGCCTT